TCTCTCTCTCTCTCTCTCTCTCTCTCTCTCTCTCTCTCTCTCTCTCTCTTTGAATCTGAATGGGAGGGGGGCTGGCTTACATGGAGGGAAGTAGGACTATCCGTCGGAGCAACTGGGGAGGAAGGATAAGAAAGGCTCACTGGCCCTGAATTGTGCAGCCCAGCTTTGGTGCACCAGACACAGGGTGCCTGTGAGTGGAGATTAGGAAGCAGAGAGGGTGAGCTTGACCAGGCTGTTGCAGGCCACCTCTGGAAAATTATTCAGAATACAAGCAGGTATAAGGTTAGCCTGTGCCTTGCATTAGTAGTAGTGACATGAACCCTTCTGCCTATGGCATCCCCTGAGATGACAGAGGCACTGCCATGCCCTCTGCAGGCTATGTGTCTTGACAGCAAAGAACTCTGGATCTCCCCCCTTCACCACATCTAGGGTGATTTCAAGCATTGCCCAGGTGGAGAGTAAGGGCAGAAAAAAAAAGCCTTGTGGCCAGCAGATGATGATGCTGGAGCTTGAGGACCTCGGGAGGCAACATCTGATGGGGGCTGCACAAGCCTAAGAAAGAGACCCCTGAAATTACACCTATAGGTGATAAATGGGTCTGGAAAATGCTGCCCTGGGGCTCTGACAGGTGTGAGCTGTTCTGACCCAGGCCTGGAAGAAGGTCCGCTCCCTATGGCCTCAGCATCCCCTCTGTGCCCTGAGAAGCTGCCCCTAGGTGGACAGGCCCAGTAGGAAGCATCTTCAGAGAGAAGAAAAGTCCCAGCCATCCCAGGAAGGCCCACAAAGAGGATGGTGGTGTCATAGTCACCAGCTAGAGAGATAGGGACTGGGGTAGAAGAGGGTGAGGAATTAAATAATTCCCCTTCCCTTGTGTCCACTTCCTCTACCTCTTCTGCTAGCAAGGGGAGGCTAGATGAGTTTCTACCCCTAGGCCTATCCGTGGAGACCTCTCATGAGTGAAAGATCTCAGGCACAGGTTTAAGGGGACAGACTGTTGTGGGGTCGGGAGTTTATTCAAAGAATTATTGACACCATGGGGCAGAGACAAGAACATGGCGGGGCTCTAAGGAGAGGCCCAGTGCCAGTGCCAGACCATGAATAAGAATGAAGAGAGGAATCAGGGCCCACATGGCAGAAGTGGGAGCCTCTTCTTAGAGCCATCTAAAGAAGTATGGGCCTGGCACCAGGCTCTCGGAGTCACGGGCAGGAGTCAAGGATGTGGGACCACTGATACCCACTTAGACATTCACGTACTTCTCTGGGCGAGAAACCCGGACACCCGGAAGCCTGTTAGCTGAGGACTCAGAGGCAGTGCCCTCAGTGGGCACCTCTCAGTGTTCGTGGAAATAAAAGGCAGCGGCTGCAGGTACTTAGCCTGAGCCTGTTCCGGTCTGGACTCTAATATTACATTCATGAGTCAGTCTAAGCCATCTGCTCCTGATCCATGCAAGGAACCAAGATGGGGGCTCTCTGTCTCTCTGCCTCTCTTCCCTGTAACAGCAGACCTAACCAAGACCAAGTGGGACAGGAAGGCAATGGGGACTTAACTCTGCCCTTGACTGTCTCAGCAGCTCTCAGATGCAGGGATCATGGCCTTAGGGAGAATAGGAGGACAGGTTAGGTTCACAGGGCCCCTACAAGGTCCCTTGGCATCCTGGGCTCAGGCACCTTGATGTCAATTTAAATGATGAGGCTTTCTCCTTCATCACACCTGGGTCACTTGGAAGATGGCCCTGTTTCTCAAGCTCAGTGGGTAGAGGGTACATAGGGAGGTGTTTTCCCTGCAGAACCCTCTCACAGCTGACAATCCTGGGGTCTGGAGACCCATGGCTGTCACAGGCAGTCCCCATACAACCACAGAAGGGTAGGTTTAGAAGCAGTTCTGCTGTGGGCGGAGAGACCAGCATGGGGTCTATGCCAGGGCTGAGAGCATCCTATGGATGGTAGGCAGGAGAGGTCTGAAGGGAGGCTCAGGGAGGCTTGGGTGGCCTGCCCCAGCAGCTGGGAATTAGTGGTAACATTTCATGCTTCTCTGGCTGTTTCTAAACTAGGTGTCAATTCACAACAGGCTTCAAACGTCCCAGCACAGCCCCAGGTTGGGGGTCGAGAGGGGAGAGCCACCACCGCCACCACCAACATCACCACCGCCGTTGCTGCCAGACCCACAGCCTAGCCCCCTGAGGGAGCAGCCCCCACCGCTGCCGCCGCCACCACCCACACCCCCAGGCACCCTGGTGCAGTGCCAGCAAATTGTCAAGGTCATTGTCCTGGACAAACCCTGTTTGGCCCGCATGGAGCCCCTGCTGAGCCAGGCTCTGTCCTGCTACGCCTCATCCTCCTCAGAGTCCTGTGGCTCCACACCCTTGCGTGGTCCAGGCTCCCCAGTTAAGGTCATCCACCAGCCCCCACTGCCCCCGCCCCCACCCCCATACAACCACCCTCATCAGTTCTGTCCACCAGGCTCTCTGCTGCTCCGGCGCCGTTATTCCAGCGGCTCGAGGAGCCTGGTGTAGGCTTTACCCTTAGCACCCCACTATCCCAATGGGCTGTCCTTCAGGAGCCTGGGCTGCCCCTTGCCACTCCTCACATCTTGGCAAAATGCCTTCCTGGCCACTGGTCACTGTTGTGGAAAGAGAATGCCCTGGCGAGACGGTTATGCTTAACCCAGTCATCCTTCACTAACTTATTTGAGTACCTCACCACAAATATGTAAACACCTTCTCATTCTTCCAGGGGTCCCACATAGCCAGATGGGCCATGCCTTCTCCTCTGTGTTCACCATGCTCCCCTAACTGGACTATAGATTGAAAAACTGAAGCTGAGGGGCCGTGGGCTGATGGGCTTGTGATCTTGATCTCTTAGGATTCCTGCCTTGGGCCAGTGGACAAGAGCAAAAGGCTGGACTGGTCAGCAGCACAGCCCAGGGGCAGAGGCAGACTACCCCAGCACAAAGTGTATCTGTAGCCAAGCCGAAGAGGGACAGACTAGCCCTGGCTCCCTGGAGGAGCCTAAGCGTAGCAGAGGAGGGGGCTCTATCTGCTGCTCCTGCCACTCAAGCCTGTAGTTAGGAGACAGGTTCTTAGCTCCCGGGGGACCTTGGCTCCCTTCACCATGTCAGCTCTCCTGCCACCACCAGAGAATTCTGAGCTGCCCAGACCCAAAAAAGATCTGAGAAAGAGACAGGGGGCAGGGTTTCCAGTTCTGTCTGGGTCATTTCAGCAGGGCCCTAGGACCGTGAGATCAAGTCTGTGAAGTGCACTTCCGAGAACATTTCTTGGTTCTCTGGCCTCAAACAACACACAGTCAATACCAAGTGTGCACAGGCAGTTACTCATAAACACATGTGAGAACCCACCCGGTTGATTGCTTCCCTGTGAAGCCAGAAGCAGGGAAATGGGGTGCTGGGCAGTCCGGCAGAGGGATGACTTGGCCTGGAATCAGGGCTTCCTCATGTCTGACTCTGCAGCCTCTGCATATGCAGACAAGGTGAAGCCGTGAGGTTCTAGTGTCACTGTGTCACCCCTGATGACCCAGTCTTCAAACAGTCCCTCCCTGGAAAAGGCAGGCTGGCTTCCAGCAGGGATGGCAAAGAATTCTTGGACCTTCAAAACTGCAGGGCAGAGCCAAGCAGGGCTCATCAACTTTCCAGGCCTATCAGGGCCAGACGAGGTGGCCCTGTAGACTACAGGAGTGGTGTCATAGGCTGTCACAAGGCAGGCCAGCCTCCCTTGTCCTACGCCAGCAGCTATTTCTGACCTTCCTCGAGATACCCTCCTAGTCATAGCCTGTTTTTAAAGTCTCCCACGAGGCGAGAGGTACAATGGATGCTGCCATGGCTGGAATTGAATTAGCTTCTCCTGGTCCCTGCTGTACCCCCCACAATTCAGTACTTTGGACCAGAGAGGAGGCATCCAGGCTCTTACAAAAGACCAAATGACCTCATTTCATGTGCATGCATGTGTATGCGTGTTTTCACCCAGAGGTCATTATGATGTCACCCGAGGAGTTTCTGGCCTTTTCTGTAGCTTTCGGCCAATATGCTGTCTCCCCGAGGGGCTCCCAGCCTATGTTTTTCTGAGTTGGCTGCCTTGGGGGCACCCATATTTCAGAAAACAATCAGACTCTGTCAAAGTGGAACAACTGACAGATGAGGGCATTACTTAGGTGCCTCACCCGTCTGCACTGGGGCAGAGAGGGTTAGGGCCTGGGGAAAGCAGAGCCTTAGATGGGACTGGATGAATGAGAGGGCCGAAAATAGTAGGAAATTGATGACTCGTAGGGAGGATGTGAGGTATGAAGGAGTGTGAGTTATAAATGTATCTAAGTGTGTTTCTGGAGTAGGGTCACGGTGTCGAGGGCTAATGAAGAGGGACATTAGCCCTGTTCACACTGCCTGCTGCTCACATCAGACTTCCAGCTAACAGCGTCCCCTGTCCCTCCTGCCTCCGCTGAAGTCTGACTTTCCTGATGAGCTCCAGTAGAGGTCTGGGGGCCGGCCCACCTGTGTGAGCTCTGAGGACCCTGACTCCCAGGCACCTGGCGCCTTTTCCCCTGGGAGAGCTTTCCCTTAGCTGACCTAGACGCTGCCAGCAGGAACAAAGTCCAGCCCAGGAAGCCACAACATGGGGTCGCAATGTTGACCTGGCCCAGGTCAAAGCTCCTGGCCCAGCTTTGAGCCCCACTAGCCCAGGGCCCGGGAGCTGAGAAGCAGTACTGGCCCACCTTACTGGTCAGGCGAAGTGAGAGCCCCCACAAATGTTGCATCTCTCCCCTGCTTAGTCAGTCTACAAATGGTAGAATTTATCTGTACCTTGGTCCCCAGAGAACCTGGGAAAAACCTCCTGCCCCTCCCCATGGCAGTGACCAGGTCAGGGCCTGAAGACCTGGAAAGAGGCTCTTAAGACCCCAGCTGTCTCAACGTTAAAGGAACAGTGCAGTACTGGCTGAGCTCCCAGATCCCGTCACCCCAAGATGCCCCCCATCAACTCTCTAGGCCTTACTGTGGGGAGCCTGGGCCCCTCTCCCAATTTATCTATTTGGCCCCAACTCCAAAATCAAGTGGGAGGTGGAACCAGTCTTCCTACCTACTTGTAGGCAAACCCACCTCCAAATGTAGGTCCTGTCTTGGCAGCCTTTCCTGGAAACCAGGCTGTCTGTCTTTTTGTTTGCGAAGATGTCTTGTTCCCACAAATATGTATCGGCCCTGGATCTTTGACACCCCACCCGCCTGTCCAGAGCCTGCCAGGGTGTCTCCGTTACCCAAGAGAGGTCCCTGATGTCACTCATCCGTCTCTCTCTGCATAGCTGTCCATCTTCCTGCAGTCCCCCCCCCGCCCCCGCCCCCACCCCCGCCCGCTCACCCTCCACCAGACGGAGTGACAGCTCTCTGGGGACAGGCAGGGTGGCTGCACTCAGCAACTAATCCAAATGGCAAATATTTTGTAACAAAATAGCCCAGAGGTATTTTATCTGTTCAATTCATAGAGTTTTAGAGATTCTATTGAAATGTGTCACTTGAGCAAACCCGTGGTCCATTGTTTCTTTCGCTCTCATGGGGTGGGGGGCCGGCGTGGCACACCAACACACACGCCACCTCAAATCAGAGTGTCTCTTTGCTAGGGTTCAGAAAGACGATATACTGACCATCGCCTCTTGGGGATACCCAGCTTCTCTCTGACTGCAACAATCATTCTTTGCCCCAAGATAGATGGTGTCTTGTGGTATAACTCCATAAAAAAAGCTCCGTCTTAAGAAATTGAGGTCTGGGTGCTAAAATAGTAAGGACTAGACATCGGATGGGGGGTACCGGGGCAGAGCTGAGGTAAAAGGTCAGAAAATTGATCTGCAGGGGCTACCTGCCTCCAACCCCAACTGGGACATTTGTGCATTCAGTGGAGAGCAAAGGCCTGAACATCCACATCTGATTTTCATCAACATTCACACCCTAAGTCTGACACCCAATCCAGGGGATGGCTTAACAAAGCCAGGATAACAGACTTGGGTGAAGGAGTTGTAGGGCACTATTATGGAAAGACAGTGTTTCCAAACCCTTCCCATGTGTTGGGTCTCCTGCTGGGAGCAGAGAAGAAATCCAAGCCTATGAAAGAGCAAGACCACAGCCAGCTGGTTAAAAGATGGGTTCAGAGATGTGTCAACATGATAGCCTACTCCTGTAACCCCAACACACCAGAGGCTGAGGCAGCAGGGTCACCGTGAGTTTGAGACCTACCTGGGATACACAGTGGGTTCCATGCCAGCCCAAAATATATAGCAAGATTCTGTTCCAAGGACACAAACGTCCTTGGACAAATACGTCTAGGAACCTGGAATGAGAGCTGAGGAAAGAAGGGCTTGAGTAGATATTCACGCCCAACGAGCTCAGCTCAGCTCAGCTCGGTGCACAAGGCAGGAGATCGCTAGGGGTGCTTTCTCCTGGCAGGGCCAGCGGAAAGAGCCTCAGCCAGATATCAGTGAACCTCTTCTGAGGAGGAAAATGATTGGTACCTGCAAAGAGGATGCCAGCTTGTCAGGTGACCAGAATTCTGAAGACCCAGACATCTAAACAGCTCCACAGGCTGGCCCCGTGGTCCTCAATTAAAAAACCTTTGGGAACATAAGTTCACCCTTTCCCAGGAAGTGGGAAATTCCAGAAGAAGCAGATACAGCTTGGACCTGTCCCATCCTGGGAATCCTCTGACCCAGAAAGCTAAAGACTGGTCCCTTGAGAGCATCCACAAGGGGTTCAGCTGGAGATAGGCCTGGGAGAGGGCCTAAGGCCAAGAGGACCCCAGGACCAATGATGCAAGCAGGCTAGCAGGCAGCTCCGCTCTCCCAACATTCTGGCCCCTGCAGTGTGGTCCACGAGGAAGGTCACCACCAGAATGTTCTAATGGAGCCTCTGGATCCATCTGTCATAGGTCAGCGCCTGTGATGACACTTCATAGATGGAGGAGTCCCACATCAGTGACTGACTTTTCCAGGGGTCCTAGAATTTCCGAGTTTCTGACTGAGAGCCAGAACAAGAAACTGGTGCCAGAGTCGGTGAATTAAACAATCAGCTCGTACACAGCTGACAGGCAGTGGGTAGGAAGAGCGCTCATCACTACACACAAAGCTCTGCTCTCAAAGCCGCACAAGGGAAATCTCCTGGGAGATTCACACCGTGTGGTGACAGGCAAGAGGTGACGGGGTGAGGTGAGTATCTGCGCAGATGATATCCACAGAGGGAAGTTCGTCCTGGTCCAGGCCAGAGAGGCCATCTGAAGCCACATCGACAGGGCAGGGTAGATGTATTATTTTTGAGGAAGAAGTCAAGACAATGTGCCAATGGCTCCTGATATATAAATTTACCTACATTGAAAAAAAATTCCACAGAGGTATAAATATGAAATAAATGAACAAATAAAAAAAACACTAAGGAAATCATAAAAATGGCCTTCTAGAATATCCAGGTCAGATGACTGCCAGAAACCCAAACCAACAAAAGAAGGGTCTGAGGGTGGGCAGGCAGATAGCTTGGGGAGGCATGGCTGGGGAATGAGCATGCTGCCCCTGAGGGCCTGGGAGGAGGACACTGGGGCTGGGAGAACACTGTGGGTGAGATCCACCCAGAGCAGGATGCATTTGCCTGACACCCACACCCACCCGATGCCGAGATTCCCAGGAAAGAGGTTCTGCTCTGTCTTCCTCGCGCTCTGGCCTTCAGATGACCACAGTCATTCTCCCTGGGTAATCGCACAGCTGAGATAGCCTACCAAGTACCATGTCCATTCAGTCCTTTCAGCCAGCTCCTTCCTCTGACCCACAACCCACATGGCAGCTGAGGTTCCAGCTGTGGATGAGCAATGGGGGGACACTATGAGAGCAGCCATCCCAGGGCACACACAGGTGACGGTCTGAAGGAAGGTCCGCTCCACATCCCTCCAAGTGGACCCTTTGGAGGGTGGACAGATATCTCCTCTGGAGGACTGAGGCCCCACCAGAGCCCAGAAGTCAAAGCATGCCCATGCCCTTTACTGTCTCCCTGTTCTTCCAAGGTAGGCAACCAGGCCCAGAGCGAGGCCCCTGGAAGCAAGGAGCTTAATTTATTTGGGATGGGAGGAGGGGCAGGTTCAGAACTGGTCCCAGCAGGAAAACTCCATCCTGGATTAGGCCAGAGGATACAGGCAGAGATGGGCAGGAAGGATGGAAACTCTTCCCACCCCTACTCCTACCCACCCCGCTCCAACAGGTCTGTGTGTGTGCTCTGCTCCCTAGAGAACAGCTAATCCCTAGCAACCCAGGGCTTCCTGCTCCCACGACCTCAGGACTGAGTGACCTCAGGCCCAAAGCTAGACTCTGGGAAAACCAGGGCTAGCTGCAGGAAAGCCTAGAGATCTGGCTTACCCTGTGTTTCAAACTTCCTAGATATAGCTCCTTGCTCCCCTTTCCTAAGAGCCTCAGACCCTTTCTCTTCAAGACATCTGTACAGAACTTGCCCTCGGGGCATAGAAGACGTTGGAGAGCCTTGTCCCTCACAGGCATGCACAGGATCCTTGGGGTTACTCACTCCAACTAACTAACTTCGCTATGTTTTTTTGTGGGTACTGGGATACCTTGCTTCAAGAATGAGAGAAAAAAACAACAGAATTGTCCAAAATAAACAGAAGGAAAGAAATAAGAAAGACAGAAGCAGTGATGAAATAGAAAATATGTGCACAATAGAAACCATAACAGAACTGAAAGCTCATTTAATGATCAATAAAGCTGACAGACCTCTAAGGCAGATTATGACTGAGCCAGTAAGTGAGTCCTGGAGTCGGAGCTGCAGACACTGCACAGGTTCCTTGTTACAAAGAAACTGTAAACCCATGGCTGTCAAAATGCCTCACCAAAACGTTAGAGCACATAAAGCCAGGCGAGGCAGTGCATGCCCCCAATCCTATCATCTCCTGGAAGGCTGAAACATGAGATTTGTGAGCTTGAGGACCGCTCAGGTGACATAGAAAGACATTTTTTCAAAAATCAAATTTTTCCTCACACCCCAGCCATCTTGGTTGAGGGGCAGAAAGATGGCGGTCACAAAGAAAACAAAATGTCTCTGGAGATGATCAGTTCTGGACCCTAACTTCCGAAAAGTGCAGCATGCATTCTAGGTTACAAACTGACTCTGAAGATGTTCAGAGACGGCAAAGCACAAGGGTTCATCCTCTCCAGCTGCTCAGCTTTGAGAAAACTGAAACAGAACACCACACGAGGTTGGCCAAAGCTATCGCCCATTGACACAGTGACAACAATATTGACTTGGGCACAGCACGCAGAGAAGACCATAGCATGTACATGCTGGCTGTCATTGACCTGGGGGCTTCTGATCTTATTAGATGCATGCCAGTACAGGCTGCAGAAAGGGAAAGTAGGAGAACTTTTTCCTTAATAAAACTTGCCGAAGTTTGTTTGTGTTTGTTTTTAAAAAAAAAAAAAACTAAGGAAAGAGGGAGGAAAAAGTAATTTTGAGATATGTGACAGTGACAGATCATTTCTTTTTAAGTCTGTATACACCCGCCCCAAACCTCTACACGACACTGCACGGTGAGGTGACTGTCTACCGTCTATGTACACTCAAGTAACTGAGAAGGTTAATCTCACATAAACTCCTTTTAAAAAGGCAGAACTAGTCCCAGCTTCCTCCTTTACAAGCTCAACACAATCTTAAACCCAAAGGACCCTTCTCCCCACCTCTGTGAGGACAGTTTGGAGAGGAGCATGCAAAAGCCAATCCAACCTTGTGAACTACATACAAAAATTCTACCCAAAATATTAACAGACTGAACGCGGCATCGAGGGACCAAAAACAGCATGTCATGACCAAGTTTGGTTTGTTCCAAGAAGAAGAAGGTGGCTTAGTATTAGAAAAATCTATCTGTGGTGGGGGAAGACTGGGAGAAGAGAGGGGGAGGGAAACTGCGGTCGGGATGTAAAATAAATAAAAAGAAAAATCTGCTTGCGTACCTCAGTACATCAACAGAGTGAAACAAGTCTAAGAGATGCGGAAAAGGGCTTAGTTAGAGTCAACACTCTTCACTGTTGTTTTGTTTCAGGTTTTGATTTTTGAGACATGCTCTCACCATGCGGCCCCACCGGTGTTGAGCACATGGTCCTCTTGCCGCAACATTGTTGTACCCAACACCCAGCTCAACACTTACCATTAATTTTAAATAAAACAAACTTGAAGCCAATGAAACGTCATCACTTAATAAATGCCATCCATCAAACAGCTGCATCAACACTCTGACTTAGTGCTGAAACGTTAAGACTTTTGTCAAAGCTGGGAAGGAGGCAAGGACTCTGCCTGCCACCACTTCTGGTCACCGAGTGGTGGGAAACAAGGGAAAGGAATAAGCATCAGAGACTGGGAACCATGGTTAGTTCCAGAGAGCCCAACTCTCTGTATGAGAACCCGAAAGAGCCACGTTGAGGCTACAACAAAGCAAAGAACTCAGGCTGGCTACTCAGTCTGTCCTGGCAGCTCTTGAGTCCTCTGAGACCCTTCTCTCCACAGCAGAGCAAATGCCGCCTCTTCTGTCGAGGCCGGACACAGCCAGGATAAAGTGGGGCCCCTTCGTCTATTCCCATTGATGGATATCCTGTCAGAACAGGTTTGCCCCGGTGGACAGGTGTGTTTACAGTGTCTGGTCTAAGGGTCAGGCCTCAGGTTCTAATACAGCTCCTGTCCTCATGCTGCTGAGATGGACAGAGCAAACCTATGTCAGTCCTGTGTCCACGTCAGTCCTGGCAGATTCTCATCACAGCAATGGGGCTGGACACTGATCTTACAGATGGACCTGGCCATGGAGGGCTCAGGCTCTGTCATCCTGTCTGTCTGTGGCAATTCTGTGCTTGCCTAGCTAACCTACGCGCAGGCTCCTCAGACCAGATGAGAGAGCCAACCCCACTTATCACAAGAGCTGGAATGGAGATGCTGGGCCAGGGGCACCAGCCCACCTCAATCCGATGTGACCTGCCTGGTGGGGGTCCTGCCAATTGTATCTGCTTCCCAAGCACATGTGTCCTTCCTGACCTTTCTCCACGGGGAGTTAACAAGCTTTTCATCCCTGTCAGATCCAATCAGCCCTTGTTACCTCATTGAGCAGCTAAATCAACAAGGAAGCCACCAGGGAGCTAGACAGGTGCCAGCAGAGAGAGCGGCAGAGACGAAGGCAGCTAGTTCCTGGGAGTGAGGAGTAGGGAGCAAGCCAGGGTCAGAGAGCCTGGAGGTGCCCAAGACGGTGAAGACAAAGGAGAGGCCAAGGACA